GGGGGGCGGAGGATACACGGGTTCAATGACACGTGATTGGTCAATAGGAAGTCAGGACCTGTCCCACATTAAAGGAGTGTGGGATTGGGGGGACGGGGCGGAGGATACATGGGTTCAATGACACGTGACTGGTCAATAGGAAGTCAGGACCTGTCCCACATTAAAGGAGTGTGGGATTGGGGGGGGGGGGCGGAGGATACACGGGTTCAATGACACGTGACTGGTCAATAGGAAGTCAGGAGCTGTCCCACATTAAAGGAGTGTGGGATTGGGGGGGGGGGGCGGAGGATACACGGGTTCAATGACACGTGACTGGTCAATAGGGAAGTCAGGAGCTGTCCCAAGTTAAAGGAGTGTGGGATTGGGGGGACGGGGCGGAGGATACATGGGTTCAATGACACGTGATTGGTCAATATGAGGCTTGAGGGGACGGTGTGGTCTAAAGATGGTCACGTGTTATTTATCGAAGGTTTTTTAATGCTCTAATATAAAAACCTGGGAAATTATTCATTTCTGTCTAGTAATGTAATGCTGAAACGGTGTGATCTAATAATGTCAGATCTTTGTTTATCGAAAAAGTTGTTTTAAAGTTCTCTAGAAATTGTATATAAAACCTAGGAAATTATTCCTTTCAATCTAGTAGTGTAAAGCTGAAATGGGTCATCGTTGTCTAATAATGGTCACATTTGGTTTATAGAAAACGTTGTTATAAAATTCTCTATAAATTGAATATAAAAACCTAGTGAATTATTCCTTTCAATCTAGTAGTGTGAAGCTGAAATGGAACGGCGTGGTGAAATGGTAGAGCTAACGACTGCTAATCCGAAATCATCCGGAGAATCGACTCCGATGGATACCTGACTTCCGGAAAACTAAGGCGGTCAGAAATAGTGCTGACCACGCTATCCCTCGATGTCATTAAAACAGATGAACTCTACTTCACCTGGTATGTCTTCTGTGGACGAACGGAAAAAGATGATGAATATGAAGCTGTTTGACTGACAATAATAGACGTGGCTTAAAACGTCACGACTTTAAGTTACAGCCTTGATCAATTGGACGTTGACTGGTTGTGGATACTATTTTTTAAAACTTTAATGTGCTTGTGAGGCAGGGGGGAGGGTGTGTGTGTGTGCACCGTCTGAAACAAACTTAATTTATTGATTTAAACTGAATCGTCCTGTGTGCTTCACGCATATCAACGGGTGGTTGTACGTGTTCATTGCTGGTGGCCAGATTTTTCCAGCACTGCTAGCCGTGCTAGGTATTAGACTGCCTGAATTTAACCAAGAGATCCAAGTTGCCAGGCAGATGTTTTTTTGTTGTTGTGTGTAAGTGGAGGTCATAGAAGAAAGGCTTGTTACTTTATCTTATTCGAAGTATAGAGAAAGTATTGTGGAAAAAAAATCGAGATTTTAGCAAATCGGAAAAACATAATTTTGCAATCTTGTCCGTATGTCTGTGTGTGTATGTGTGTGTATGTGTGTCTGTGAACACGATAATTTGAGTACCGTTACAGCAAGGTTGATGAAATTTCATATATAAGTATTATATCAAATGTGAAGTTCTTTTAAAATTTTCAATTCTATTTTATTCTATTTTTAAGTTTAACATAAGTAATTGAAAATGGATTTAAAATAGTGTCTATATCCCTAGATGCCATCCCCCGTAGTATTATATAAGAATATTCGAGAAAGTCTAGGAGAGGTCACTCCCGGTTTTTTTTTTTATATAGATGGTAACTACATTAGTGAGTTATTTCCCTTACGATGAGTTCTCTAACTTCATAGGTGAGAATTAAAGCTGGTGTTTAAATGAATCTTTTTCAGATCAAATTGGACGATGGGAAACAGCTTACGTTTATTACTTCTTCCATTATTTCTCATAAAATATTTTTAAAATAAAAAATAAATTAATTTTTACATATTTAATAAATAATTTTAGGCACCTCTTAAATTTTCTTATATGCTGTTAGAGTTCTAAGTAGTATTATTTATTATCAAAGAATTTGCACAAGGTACTTAAAAAAGCTGGATGAACTCAAGTATATTATACAGACTTGACCTGAAGTCTAAAAAAATGTGCGTTCCATTGACAGCCAACCCTACATATCCTAAATCAGGTAATTTATAGAATCTATGATATTCAATTAAAACAAAACAAGAGACTTTGTTACAAACTTTACACTAGTATTTATTTCAATAGACATCCTAAGGTGGCTCTTTGTTAATCTGGCCGTTAGAGACTAGAAAGTCGTAGAGCTTCCTGGTTTTGTTGACATCAATCTTGATGAGAGTTCTAGCCTGGGCTAGTCGCAGGAATCCGTTCTTTGCACACTCAGATATTAGAAGTTTGGAGAACTCCAGGTACGCGTCAGGGACCAAACGAGCTTCTGAACAGAGCTGTAGATTCGTGGAAAAATGGTTCAGCAAATGGCAGCATGGAGAAAGAAATTGCCACCAGAATAGCAATGGCAGCACAAGCTTTCAACAGACTCGCTAAGATCTGGAAATCATCCTCACTGCAGCAGAGAACTAAAATAAGGATCTATAAGTCAAATGTACGTTCTGTACTCCTCTATGCTGCAGAGTCATGGAAACTAAACAAGAAAGGAGACAGCCGACTCAGAGGCTTTGAAAGAAGATCCCTCCAACGCATCCTCAGGATAAAGTGGGACGACAAAGTCCCGAACAAGGAAATATGGCGAAGGACAGGATTAAACGACATTGTCTCAGAAGTTAGAACGAGGAGATGGAGATGGCTGGGCCATGTCCTACGCATGAGCAAAAAAAGACTCCCCAACATGGCGCTGAAGTGGAACCCACCCGGAAAGAGAAGTAGAGGAAGACCACTGGGAACATGGAGGAGGGAGATGGAAGAAGAAGTACAGGCTACTGGCAAAACCTGGCATGAACTAAAGTGGCTCGCTCAGGACAGGGTGGAATGGCGGAGATTTGTTGTTGCCCTATACTCCACAGGGAGTGATGAGGATTAAGTAAGTAAGTAAAGAGTCAAATATCTTGGAAGAAAGTAAAAAATTCTATATTTAATATATGTTCTCAACAAGGTTTGGCGCAAGCGAAGTGATGAAAAATATGCATTCAAAACAAAATTAAAAACAAACAAAGACTGACTTTATCAAGCAACCCAAACATTTCTGTTTGGTGTAAAAATAACAAACATAAACAAGACTGCTACAATAGTTAAAATACTGAGTCCGCGCAGCTTTGAAGGGTGTCTGACAAAGTCAAGAGGGGAAAAGGTAAATAGTAGTAATGATGACAATACATTCCATTCATAAACTGAGAATCAGAAAAACATAAACAAACGGAGTGGCCTAACTGTAGAGAGTTGGACTGCTAACCTGTAAAGCTCAAGTTTGAATCCGGGTTCAAGTCAGTAGACCATCCCTGAGTCCACCCAACTCTGATCGGTAAGTAAAGGCGGCTGGCCATAGTGCTGACCACACAACTCTTCATATGCCGAGGTCACAGAAACATGTGAACTCTACTTTATTTGCCCCATAGACCATTAAGTTTGAAAGGGAACTTTACTTTTTAAACAGATGCTTAATAATTTACCTATCATATTAACCTTCAAGTCTAAAAGTAAACTTTACTTTAAAGACAATCAAAACAGGAGCTTATACCTCTTTCTCTGCCTCGTTAAGTTTGTCATACCCAGGTAAGCCATCAATCTGAAGACGAGGGGCAGTTCGTTTGTTTAAAGGTGGAATGGCCATGTTCAGACCTTTGTTGGATCCTTCTTTGGCCGCTTGCTTGGCCAGCCAGTTTTGGAAAAACATTTCGTCCTGGAATAAATAAAGGTACATCTACAAGCATCAACACAGATTTATTAATTCAGTTTCAAACTAGCCAACAAAATATTTGCATCTCAGATAAAAATCACATATTCCCTCTCGGCTGAAATTTGTTACCCAGCACAACAGATAAAAAATAGTCACTAGTCAAAATTGTATGATTTATTTAAACAGTATTAGTATAATTGTTTATCTTAAGCTATCTTTTTAGTAATACTATTATAATTTTTAAAGAACATGAGAAATATAAACACAAAATAATTGCCATTGTACTTAAGAAAACAATTAAGTTAAGAAAATGAAAAAAAGGATGTAATACATTGAGTGATAGCAATAGACCAGTTTAGATGAAAACCAAGCACATGAAATTCACACGAACTCTAACCTTGACCTGATCAGTGTTTCTTCCAGACTTTTTTCTCCGGGGGGGGGGCACTTGAAATTTTCGTGGGGGGGTAGACTTTCTTCGGGGGGGGGGGGCAAGCCTGGAAGAAACTCTGGACATGATTAAGAATGTCTGTCAAGAGATTCTTCCTTGCCCTGGTGTCTTCCCTCCTCTGTTTAAGCACATAGTAATGTTTTACAGATCGCAGCTTCGTAATCCCGTTACGCCAGTACCAGAGGTGTAGGCAGGGAGGGTTAGGGGGGTGGTTACAACCCCATGGACCCCTAGGTAAAAAAATTTTACTGTCATAAAACCACTGTTGCTTATTTAAATCTATTTCTGATTCAGTATATATGTATAATTGTATATGTATGTTTCGAAGTCTTCTAAAAACTGACGCTATGTCCACTCTGAGTTGCCCCCCCCCCCCCTGCTTCCCCCCCCCCCCCCCCAATACAATGATCTAACCCATACATTATCGTTATGTTCTAAAATGATCTTTAAAGAATACAAAAAAACAGAAGTAATTAAAAATTAAATGATCTGAACTGCAAGACCAATATTTTAGATATATGTAGACTATTATTCAGGAATAGACTACAAATAAAGAAACAGTAAGTCTCCTTTTGTCCAACACTGACAAAAACTTGTAGGATGTGATGGACATTTAGTGAGAGCTAAACAGGTAAAACTATAACAATACAACTTATTGATGAGTTCTAGCAAGGATTGGTTGCGATCATTTATTGACAGATTTATGGTGTATAAGGTACACGAGAAGGCAATGAACCACTTAAAGCATTGTCTTGTGTTTTTATGTTCACGTGTAAAGTATAATAATATACAATACAGCTGAGTGATAAGATTTTTTTATGGATGGCATAGAGAGGTAGACTGCTCGAGTTCAAAGTACCTAACTCATCTTAGGAAAAGTAAAGGCGGCTTGGCATAGTGCTGACCACATTATCCCTTCATATGCCAAGGCCAAGGAAAGATGTGAACCCTTCATCTACCCAATGGATAAAGAGGAAATCTATTCTTACTAATATTTTTTTACGAACAGCGGCTATTGTTCTATTATGAGATGTCCTAAAATATTATGCGGTTAGCATTCAGATTTTTAACTAACACGGCAAAGTCAGCGGCTAGTACTCTAGTTTGAATATCTCCTTTAACAGTAAGTAATAGTGTAAGCACATTTCTAATTAGCCATCTTAACTTTAATTAACTTAATAGGTATTGTTGCACAACGCATTTTCCTTAGGGATAAAAATCAATATTACATTATCGTGGTTTCGATTGAACTTACCGTTTAAGCATCCTTACAGTTAGCAGCTCAAAGTAAAGCTGGAAAAGATTGTGTTTGCACGATAGCTAGGTAACTATACGCATATTTAACTAGTAAGTTTTATGTTTATATGAAAATTAAGGTAGGACTTTAATATTGTGGTATAATGAAATGTTTTATTGCTACCCTACAAAAGAATTATAAAATAAGAAAAACAACATTTTAAAAAATATTAAATTAAACTATAAAACTGTTTTTAAAAATAAAATAGCTATAATTTTTTTCATTGCCACCCCTTCGCTCACGATTGGCCAAAGAATACAGCATGAAGTATCTGTTTGTGTACCTGTGGGCCACCTTTGGCCCGCTGGCCTGTGGTAGCTTAGAGCAGCAGTGGCTGTTGTCTGCAGCCACGTCAAGCTTCTCACAGGAGCTGTACCAGAAGGTGGCAGGGGACAAGTCTAGTGTGGTGTACTCTCCATACAGGTGAGTACCTCAGGTGTCTCTATAGGTAAGTCGCTCAGGTGTCTATAGGTGAGTCGCTTAGGTAACTCTAGATGAGTATCTGAGGTAAATATAGGGGAGTATCTCAGATGTTTATACGTGAGTACCTCAGGTATGTATACGTAAGTACCTGAGGTAACTATAGATGAGTACCTCAGGTATTTATACGTGAGTACCTCAGGTATGTATACGTGAGTACCTCAGGTATGTATACATGAGTACCTCATGTATATATACGTGAGTACCTCAGGTATATATACGTGAGTGCCTCAGATGTTTATACATGAGTACCTCAGGTATGTATACGTGAGTACCTCAGGTATATATACGTGAGTACCTCAGATGTTTATACATGAGTACCTCATGTATATATACGTGAGTACCTCAGGTATATATACGTGAGTACCTCAGATGTTTATAAATGAGTACCTCAGGTATATATACGTGAGTACCTCAGATGTTTATACATGAGTACCTCAGGTATGTATACTTGAGTACCTCAGGTATATATACGTGAGTACCTCAGATGTTTATACATGAGTACCTCAGGTATGTATACATGAGTACCTCAGGTATGTATACGTGAGTACCTCAGGTATGTATACATGAGTACCTCAGGTATGTATACGTGAGTACCTCAGGTATGTATACATGAGTACCTCAGGTAACTCTAGGTGAGTATCTGAGGTAAATATAGGGAAGTAACTCAGGTATTTATACGTGAGTACCTAAGGTGTTTATACGTGAGTACCTCAGGTGTTTATACGTGAGTACCTGAGGTAACTATAGGTGAGTACCTCAGGTGTTTATACGTGAGTACCTCAGGTATGTATACGTGAGTACCTCAGGTATGTATTCGTGAGTACCTGAGGTAACTATAGGTGAGTACCTCAGGTGTTTATACGTGAGTACCTCAGGTATGTATACGTGAGTACCTCAGGTATGTATTCGTGAGTACCTGAGGTAACTATAGGTGAGTACCTCAGGTGTTTATACGTGAGTACCTCAGGTATGTATACGTGAGTACCTCAGGTATGTATACATGCCTACCTCGGGTAAATATAGGCGAGTACCTCGGGTGTTTATACGTAAGTACCTCGCGTATTTATAGGTGTGGCTTAGCTATTTAAAGGTGAATACCTCATGTATTTATAAGAGATTACCTTGTGTAGTAGTAGATGAGTACCATAGGCATTTACATGTTAGTACTTTGAGTACATATAGGTGCGGGTCTATAGGTGGGCACCTGCATGCCTACAGGAAAATAGTTACAAAATAGTTATAAAAATACTTGCATGTTAACATTGCATACATTAATAATTCATTATCATCATCTTTTCCAAGACATATGGGGCGCAAGAAATAGAGTTAATCCGTTTCAGTGATCTAGGCATACAAGTGGATATTGTGGTCAGCCCTATGTCCAGCCTCCTTTGTGTACCTTTATGGACTTAGGGATTTTTTACAGCCTTGAGCCTGGGAATCGAACTCCAGAGTAACCAGTCTAGCGCTCCACCGCTTGGCCACTCCGTCCCGTTAAATCAATAATTATTGGTATTTGTTTGTGAGCAATATCCACAGAAGATGACCTGCACGATAATGTTTTGTGGCCAACATTTACAATTAATACCACCAGTTGGTTACATAATTAATTGTTTTTCTTATGTACATCAAAATATTCTTGAGAAAACATATCTTCAGCTTTTTTTTTTCTTTTAAAATATTTCTGTGTAAATATTTCTGTGTAAATATTTCTGTGTAAATATTTCTGTGTAAATATTTCTGTGTAAATATTTCTGTGTAAATATTTCTGTGTAAATATTTCTGTGTAAATATTTCTGTGTAAATATTTCTGTGTAAATATTTCTGTGTAAATATTTCTGTGTAAATATTTCCGTGTAAATATTTCTGTGCAAATATTTTTGTGTAAATATTTTTGTGTAAATATTTCTGTGTAAATATTTCTGTGTAAATATTTCTGTGTAAATATTTCTGTGTAAATATTTCTGTGTAAATATTTCTGTGTAAATATTTCTGTGTAAATATTTCTGTGTAAATATTTCTGTGTAAATATTCCTGTGTAAAATATTTATAAACAAGCCTTCACGTCCTTGACATTCAGTGTTCACTCGGCCCTGTCTATGACGTCACTGGGTGCCAGAGGAGAGACGGCCAATGAAATGGCCAAACTGCTCCATCTGCTCAGTCTTGGTGACTCGACACACCAGATATACAGAGAACTGATCACTGAGGTGGGGGATGTCTGTCACTTTAAGATGATATTCTAATTCTATTAAATACACAGATACGCAAACTTTGCAAGCCAGTTACCATTTGCAAACACGTTAATATAAGATTGGTTTTTTTTCAGTCGTTGAGGTCGTATTTGCAAAGAAAAATTGTCAAAAAAGTAAAGTTCCCCTTTTCAAACCCGACGGCCCATTGGGCAAGCGAATTTGAGTTCACATGTTAATGTGTCCTCGGTTTTTGAAGGGATAGTGTGGCCAGCACTATACCCAGCCTCCTTTACTTTTCCCTAACGTGAGCTAGGTACCCATCAGAGCTAGGTCGACTTAGGGACGTTCTACCCAGTGTAACTTAAGTATTCTAAAGGTAAAAATATTTTTTTTTCGTTTCTTTGGCCTCGGCTTATAAAAAGATGATATTTTCAGCTCCCATTTGATGTCGGATATCCATTAGATCTATGTGGACTCATGGCAGATATACGGATTCGAGCCTCACACTCTCTGTTTAGTAATTGAATGGTGTACCCCTCAACCACACTGTCCCATAATGCATGGGATATTTTAAAAATAAAAAATAAAAATTGACCCAAACATGACTCTTTCAGCTGTACTCCACCGCCAATGATACTCTGACCAGCGCCAACGCAATCTTCATCAACCCCGAGAAGTTCATCCTGCCCGAGTATGTGGCACAGGTCAAGACAAATTACCTGGCCAAAGTTGACCATTTTGATATGTCTGCCCCTGAGGGTCCGGAGAAGGTCATTAATGACTTCGTGGCTGAGAACACGGACAACCAGATTCAGGACATTCTCCCAAAGGGTTGGTAGACAACCTTTTTTTAATGATTCAGGATATTCTTCCAAAGGGTTGATAGACAACCTTTTTTAATTGATCAGGACATTCTCTCAAAGGGTTGGTAGACAACCTTTTTTTAATGATTCAGGACATTCTCCCAAAGGGTTGGTAGACAACCTTCTTTTTATTGATCAGGACATTACTCCAAAGGGTTGGTAGACAACCTTTTTTTAATGATTCAGGACATTCTCCCAATGGGTTGGTAGACAACCTTTTTTAATTGGTCAGGTATTCTCCCAAAGGGTTGGTAGACAACCTTTTTTTAATGATTCAGGACATTCTCCCAAAGGGTTGGTAGACAACCTTCTTTTTATTGATCAGGACATTACTCCAAAGGGTTGGTAGACAACCTTTTTTTAATGATTCAGGACATTCTCCCAATGGGTTGGTAGACAACCTTTTTTAATGAAAAACAAATAATCCTTTTTAGACCTACCGACCCATTGGGCAGATGAAGAAGAGTTCATATAGTTATTGTAACACTTTGTTTGACTATTTTTACCACCCCTTCCCCACAGTCACATATCGTCTCTCCACTACTTCTCTCCCTTACTTATCTCTCCCCTACCACTCTCCACGACTCTGTCCCCTACCTACTCTACCTCTCTCCATTCCAGAGTTTCTTCCAGGCATCTCTTCGGGGGGGGGATCTACCCCCCCCCCCCGAACGAAATGAAATTTATACAGAAAATATATACTTTTAACAGTGTCCGCCCCCCGAAAAAAGTCTACCGCCCCCCCCCCTCCCCTCTGAAGATTTCAAGTGCCCCCCTTCCCCCGAGAAAAAAGTCTGGAAGAAACACTTCTCCATTCTTCCTACCTTTCTCCTCTCTCCTATACCTCTTTCCCTTTCCCTCTTTCTCCGCTCCCTCTCCCTTTTCCCTCTCTATCTATCCCTT